GATTGAACAAACGGCTGCAGTGAAACATGCATCTATACAAGCTATGTCATGTACATGTAACTGGTGCTACATCTGATCACTTTGTCAGGGTCTATATGTTAGTTTTCAGTGGGGTAAACGAGCATTCTGTTCCGAACAATCTTTTCGAACATCTCCTTTGGAAACGCACTCTGAATCCAACATAGAGCATTGACCAAGGTTCCATGCGTGAAGCATCCTCAAAAAGAGGCTACTAGCCGCACAAAAGCCACACGGGCCATCCAATTCTGCAAAAAACCAAAGCCAATACCTCCCAACAACCAAGGGCATCAACGCAGGGACGTGCGACCCGGCGCTCTTAAACACGGCGGCTTGACACTAGCTGGACGATCAGCGTGGTCATGCGCACCAACACCAAGAGCCAGGCCGCCCTGGTGTGTTGGCCAGTGAGTTGACCCCAGAAAATGATGGAAACTGAACTAGCCGGTCAAGTTGTTCGGTTGAAAGGGTTCTAATGCTTTTCCTAGAAGGTTTACCTGGCATCGAATCAAATCCACAAAGAACAATCCCTACCAGTGTCACGTGGTGCGAAGTCTGTTGGAAAACGTTTTGGCTCAGACATTACATGCCACCTATGAGGATTTCATGAGGGAGGTGTCTCCAAGCCGGTGTGTAAAGTTTCTTCCGACTTCTACAGTTCCAACCACTCCGGTTCTCAGTTCAATGTGCCTGAATGTGGGTCCCAGGGAGTCCCAGGGTCCCAGGAACGGCTCAAATGTCTGATCCAAATCACCAAGGAGCTAGCAGCTATATATAGCTGGAACAATCATCAGGATGCCAGGTCAGGGTCAAAACCCAAAATCTTCGGATTCCGGTCGAATCCGAAACCCGACGTGCGAGCAATCGATATATGATCCTGCCAGAATCAAGGACCCTGGTGAAGGGTTTGAGGGCCCACGCCCCTGTGAACAGCAGGGTCAAAACCCTCCATAATGAAGACTAAAAGAAACGATTATTGAATATTGTTGTTCAATCCACCTCTGAGGGGTTACAATCCACCTCTGAGGGGGGGTACTTTTAATATTAAATGATCCTCTGTGGAATAACCGGTGGGGGTTGAGAACCCCATTTTATAGTCATAAATGACTGAACCAGGCTCTGGGAGCACAATGCCCCACTATAGAATCTAGCTTTCAACCCTTGTAGTGTACAGCATAGTTTCTCTATCGAATAAAGGGAGTCAACCTTTAAGGCACTAATGTAACAGAATTGTAGGCTCAAAATCTGAATTATCCAATAGAAACAGCCAGGGGTGGTCCTCATTCTATAGACAAGTGGGTGTAACATCAAGGCTGACATATTATTTTAGAGGAAAGTTACGCAGCAATGGCAAAAGAGGTTGGCATTTTATTCTATAGAAACATGATTGAGCATTGCAAGGCTGAAATTCATTTTATAAAAAAAATCAGAAAATGACACTCCAAAAACAAGATATGTCTATAGAGGTTGATATTCATTTTATAAGGACAGGGTTGGACACTCACAGGTTGATTTTTTTTAGAAAGGTGGGCTGAATTTTGAACAAAAAAAAACATTTTATAGTGGGCCAATATTCACCGGTTATTCCACAGGAAATGTGGGAATGCATGCACCAGATTGCACAAGAATGCGCCGGATATTTCGTGAAATCAGAATCAGAATCCAACCTAGCTCACTGTAAAACATCCATCCACTCTAAAGTAAACTCTCAACCTTCTACTGTTCCAGGTTCTCTCTATAGAATCAAAACCATGTCCTCTATAAAATGTCCTCAATTGTCATGTATTCTCTATAAAATGAGGGTGATCAACCTATTGACCCATCAATATATGATTTTCTCACCTCAGAGATCCTCAGAGTGGATCTATCTCAGGTAGGTTGACATTTGATTCTAGAAACAACTCTCTATAAAATGCCAGGTCATTATGGAGCTCGACCTCCCCCATTCTATAGGGGTTATTCGGCAGAGGATATTAAATGTCTTAAGAGTCTACCGTATGGAGGGTGCAAAGATGGTTCATGTGTGAACCCTTCCGCACACGTCGTCTCGACAGTCTGCCGCTCGATCAACATGGCGCTTTCGGTGTTCGTCGGCACCTGCTGCTGCAGAGAATCTGTAGAGGTCGGTCCTGGAGGCGTTTCGCAAGCGGCGTGGACACCTCCATGGAGACGACCTGTTTATGTGTTCTATGTTTTACATGTCAAAATACACCTTTGTTTGCAAATCATGGCCTGGCTTTTGGGCACTTGGGTGGTGAAGGTAGGCCATATCTTGCATGGAGCATTCGTGTACGTCCCGATCACTGACCCTCAGACCGATCCAAAGACGGGATCGTACGGAACATGTGGGTCGTTCACTCCCGGGGGGTGCTGCCCGGGTTTTCCCATCGAACATGAACAAACTAGACTACCAAACTGCCGGTCAACCAAGCTGTCAGGGTTTTCGTTCCGGGCTCCTGGGTGGTTTTGACCCACAGCGATAGGATGAAAAACATAGATCCTTTGGAGACTCTGAAAAGCACCCAAACGTTTCTCTTTGGCTAAAGCGTCTAAACCAGGTTTGTTGATCAATTCAAAGGCTTACTTGCCAGTGGATGGAGCATGATCTCCCACCAAACTGACATGTTAAAACAACATGTGCGAAATAGCCTCTCTCCACATATACCAGTAGTGCTAAGCTTGGCCATCTGCGGTTTGTAACCACCTGCTTGAATTTTGGTGGCGACACACTAGTCCACTTGTAGTGCCAAACTGACAATTTAATTATTCCAACATATATTCCAAACGCAAACCTCACTGGGCATCCACCACGCATCTCGACCAGCTTTGACCACGGGAAATCCTCCAAACGCGTCCCGAAACGCGCAACTCGCGCTGTCGCTTTTCGCCCCAGCGACGCGCAAAGCTCGCGACAGTCGGGCTGGGGTGAAACTCTTGGAGCCGCTCCGAGCTCCGGCCGCAGTCAGTGCGAGAGATCCCTCTGTTTCGAACTGTCCTTTGCACAAGAAACAAACAATGCACACTGCATATTATATGCATCGATGAAATCAGGAATATCTGGCAAGGGCATGAAATCATGTGAAATCCAAGCACACGAATTGCCTGGAAAGGACGCCCGTACGTTTCTTGCTTTGGGTGACTAAATTGCAGAATCGAAACTCGCCACAAACCGTTGTAGCAATCTCTCGCTGTTTCAGTCTACAGCCGGGCAGTGCTGGAAGCTTTCACAGCGCTGCAAAGTCTACATGTTCCTCAAGCACTTCCATGGAAGCGAAGGTGGAAGACAAAGCAGGTGATCGATATAGCGATTTAAATGACTATTCGTGTCCGAACCCCACATGTGGCAATGTCTGAAAGACGTGGGTACTCGATCCCCATCGGGATTTCTAATATTCTAACAAGGTCAGCGAAGGCTGCTCTGAGTTCTTCATCTCCAGCACCATCTTCGTCACATCGTCTCGCAGGCCTCGGTCAAGAGTCACCGCGCCACCGGAACCAGCGTCGCTTTCTGGCGGTCTTTCGTTGCCGGTGGAGCTTGACATCAGTGCGAGTGCGATGCGGTCGAGACATGCACGTTTGGATTTGGCCGGCTTACCTGCTGGGCATGACCAAGAGCCTGAAAAATAAGAAAACACCAAGCACTGATCCGCACGGGGCTTTCTGGCCGGTTTGGATCTTGGATCTTCTTACGATTTCTTAGGTGTATATTGTTAGCCTGCTGTTTTCTTTTTTTCCAGATCTCTCTATTAGTACCGGACAGTATGTCCTTTAAACCTTCCCTCAAGTTTCAACGTCTTTTCGTGGCAGGTCTCCTCAGTGCTTACGTCCTTTCGATCTCGGAGTCGCACTGACTCCCATTGGTCTCGTCAAGATCTTTTCGTGAAACGGAGCAAAAGCACGCAAGTGACGGCAAGGCCAAAGTCCAACACGCACATGGCAAGAAACCTTCGAAGGTAACCAAGCAACTGACTTGATTGGTATCTGTGGTAAATGCAAATCAACTGCTTTCATATGAGGGACTATTTAAGGAGCGACCTGCCACAAGAAAATGAACTGGAAATGAAGGGTGTTGCTTGTGATCCTTCGTCCCGTGCTTCCTTTTCTTCCTCCAGCTTGATCTCCGATCGTTTCTGTGGCCTCGTGAATGGAAGTTAGTTGGGCTAGCTTACCACGCACTCCTGAAGCCATTGCGTCAGGACAAAAATACAACTTGTGCAAGCAAAACAAGTCCGCAAGAGGACTCACTTGTGATGAAACAAATACACTTGACGCCAAAACCGCAAGAGAGGACTTGCACTGTAACTGTAGAACAAGGGTGTCTATGCTACGCCATACCGGAGAACAGGATCGCCAAGTGGCCGTTCACCTCGATGATGACATCCCCCCTCTTGACCTGGTAAAGCGAGTTGATTGACAGGTGTGAAACAGGATCAACATCGATCAACATGTATCACCTGGGGTCCAACCTGTCGTCCAAAGATTGACCATTTGGTACGCAACACGCTTCTCTTCCCTCACTTTTTCCAGGCGCGATGACTGATTTGTCCTAAATGCACTAGCTCCGAGATGTAAGAATGACTGCAAAACGGCGAGGATGCTCTTGCAAAGTTCTGCTTTGCTAATTATATAGATTGAACCCCCTCGAAAGGGTCAGGCAAGATGGTCCCAAAGATCCCTAAAGTAATTGCTGAAGTCGTCAGTCTCTTGTTTCCACAAAGAGTTCTTTCTGGCAGGTGTCCTCCCATTTCCTGCACCTCAAAGTTTCTCCACACTCCTATCTCGAAGTCTGAGAAAGTGAACATCACCTCAAGGGATCCAAGTACCTTCTCAGAAGGTGATTGGAGACACTGTTATGTAGGTTTGGAGGGTCCAAGTACCTTCTGAGAGGGTACTTTGATCCCTAGGGATGAAGTGTCTGGGTTATGCGATGGCCACATCTGCTAGGACCGCTCCTCCTCACGCATCGCATGGTGTCAAGCTCGTCACGTCGCGTCTCTCGTCACCCTCGACCGTCTCTCTCTCTCGTCTCTCCCGCGCTCCCCCACCGGCGTCTCCGGATGTGCCAGGTTCCAGTCTTGCACCAAGCCGTCCTCGTCCAAGCCTCGGTGGTGACCGAACGAGTACGTCACGGGTCGCCGGTGAGGTTCGCGAGTTCACGGCGCGCGTACGGGTACGTCACGGCGAGAACGCCGGTAGCGATGGAGAAGGTGAGTACAGAAGTACACGGCGTGGTGACGTGCCTTGAAATAGCCGGTGGTCCAGGCGACGTTTTTCTATGCTCTTCTCGGGCGTTCGGCGTTCGGCGTTCGGACCGAAGCGCGGTTGTATTCATTCGCCTGATCAGGCTGTGTATTCTATGGTTGAGTCTTCGTCTCATAGGCATCTTGTCCATCATATGCACGACAGTAAGCATCAAATGCAGGAGTGCTAGCTACACATGTGACTCGAATGGTGGTGATTTCTTTTTGCCAAGTTCCAACCAACAACCAATGCCCCCCAAAACTCGTGGTTGACCATCTGTTGAGGCCAAAGATCATCCAAACTCAGCAGTGTTGGCCCGGTCACGGGTTCGAAATGTAAAAACAAATGCATGATATATACATATATCAGATTATATTAGATAAAACTAGAGGATGATAAAAGCTCGGTGTATAAATTCTACGGCTCTATAAACAATAAACAACATGAGGGAAGGGGGTGAAGGCACGGTGGTCTCAAAGGTCTCTCTGAAGTAGTGTAGCTTACTTGAAAGGTGGTCAGACCGGCCATTCTGTACTTAAGGTCAACGGTCAGCAGAACAAAGTCACGAATTCTGCCAGGATAAACTGGAAAGTACCAACTCACAAAATTTGGAGGTTCCAAGCAGACTGGAGGTTCCAAGCTATCAAACAGATGCGTGAATCAAACAGACTGGAGGTTCCAATCAATTCGACTTATCAAACAAACAGAGTCGGTTCCAAGCTATCCAACCGCCGCCACAGATCCAATCTCACATCTTGTGATGCACAGGACTTCGGCTGGGAGAGCGGGATAGTCCCGGACTTTGGCTTCTCATTTTGCAAGGGCTCTTCCACCAGGTAGGTTGTGACCAAAAAAGCATACCAACCCTCAAACCTGAATCTCTTACGAAGACAGTCCACCTCAATGAGTGTTCCTCCTGTTCGGCTTAGGATCAAGGGGCATCGAAATACCATCAGGTTGTTGATGTATAAACAACGCTATTCGAGTCCAACCTCTCCAAGGTTTACGAATCAACCACACGAAGTGAGTGTCAAAAGGTATCAACCGAAGCACCCAGTCCGACTGGGTGACACCACTTCACAAATCCGCAGCAAAAACCGCTCCCACCTGCAATGAGCACTTTGGATGCCGATTTGAAGTAGTTCAGGGTGATCCCGAACTCCTTCCCTGCGCCGATGTTCTTCGAGGTCATTTTTCGTCAACGAGTCGATCGAGGGGGAACTAGCTGGTGGGACTGCGTGCATGATGTCTTTTCTGTAAATGAAAAATATCTCTACAGCTCTCCAGTGAACTTGTTGGACGGGAGAATTGGAGATTGCATGATCATCCTCTTTAACCATGCAATCTCATAATAACCAATTGGGCTAAGCATCCTCACAAGCCCTACCTACTATCAATTCCCAAAACATCAAACTTCAATGGTGCTTTTGAGAAGGCTGACTGCTTTTCAGTTCACTCTGTCAACTCTGCACGGTCGCTCTGGTTTTGCTGCGCTTGAAGCTACAAAGTAGCTATCAATAAAGAGTGCCTAATTGTAGACTAATAGGCTAGGATCAGCAAATCTGAGCAAGGTGTACGTGCTTCATTGGTGATCAAAAACACCTCCTTTCATTTCTGTACCTCCAAAAAGGAGCAGCTATGTGTGTGTGTTCAGATTTGCTTTTTTTCAGGAAACCTTTGCTGGGAGCTCTCTGGCTGAGCTTCCTGCCTCATTCTCTCCTGCAGTGGTTGAAACCGTTGAAACCCAAACAAGTAGAATCTAAATTGACCCCTAAGAAATCCTAAGGATCTTCAAGATACCCCAACTGTTCGGTCAATCTTCCTGTATGCAACTCAGGGGCCTTCGGTCTTGCTGAGGACCACCTTCTTCTCCTGGCTTTCTGCGTCTGAGAAGAACATGGAAACATGTAATGTTGAACAAAGGAAGAAATGCAGAACACGGCCGCCGGACTGCAAAGGTAGATTGGTTTGTTGCCACAACACTATGTGTTTTCTTTACAGATTGGGTAGATTTGATTAGACTTCGGTTGCAGTGGATGTCACAAGGCGACTAATTGAGATATGTAGCCAACAAAGGACTTTGAACAGAAGGCTTCATCAAAGGGACTTGATAGGCTTTGTCAAACAAGTCTGGACATTCTCAATTTCAAGCATCACAAATGACTGACTGGCCCAAGATTCCATTCGAGTGCAATCATGCCCAACATGGCTTCTCCTTAGGGATATACCGACCCTTTGCTCAAATCCCAAAGTGGTCGAACAAAATGCAGAGTGACCATGGGATTGGTTAAGTATTCTGAGCTGTCGGAGGGGGAGAATGAAATCTTATCTTGGATACACAAACGGTCCCTGCTTTCCGAAGGTTAACAACATAGAACGACTCGGTGCCCACGTGATGTGCCCTCACTGACTACTCAAGAACTGATTCAACTTTGCAAATTTGTCGCACACTTGCTTCATTGCTTTTCACCTCGGGTCCACGGAGGTACCCTTCCTCCAGCATGCTCCAGCAACATGAAAGTGGAGGTACCCTACCCCCTTCTTGGTAAAGGAACATCGTCTTCCAAGCAAACATGCCATCCACCTCCATGATTGTTGGAGGGGGAGTATATAATGTCCATGGCTGCTTGTATGGCCTCCCAGAATTTAAGATAACAACGTGGAAATTCAACAAACCCCTAGTTCAGTTCTGCGGGGTCCAAACCGTTGATCCCATCGCTTGGTCCGACGGCCGGGACACCCTCCCCGCATCATCCATGCCTCCATATGCCTCCCGTCCCCGTCCCTTCTCCAGGACGCGGCAGTGGATCAAAACAGGGGGACAGAAGTTGACCACTTAAAACATGAACAAACTACTATGCCACTATACCAGGGGCACCAGGACCCTTGAATCCCACTGCCCATCCAGGCTGTTCAACCGACGGGATTCAAGGGGATCGCCCGACCGTCGCCCACAGACCCGACCGCGGACGTCGACCGCACCCTAGGACGTCGGAACTTCAGCTCCAACACCCCGTCCCCGGCATCCTGGCGAGGACGGAGGTGGTCGGACGGTGGTCGGAAACCCAACACGGGTGGCGAGATCGGTCTCCTTGGACCAAGTGATCCAGTGATCCTTTGAGGATGTAGGATCTCCAAGCCAAGTGAAGACAGGCCTACAATCTTTGAGTGCAAACACTATTTGACTGGAGAACTTGTGCCTGAGTGGACATCCTTGACCACCAGGGAAATGGTGCGATAAAGTCATGAGTTTGAGCTCTGCGAAGAGACATCGCGAGCTCTAGAATCTAGAAGTTTGAAAGCTGTGTGCAAATTCTTGTTGAATATAATCTATAAGTGCAGCTTATGTGGGGTCTCGGAAAACACATTAGTTTATTTCACAACACACACCGTTTCACAAAACACACTAGTTAAAATATGTCCGAAGTTGTACCAACGTCACCACAGCGTGAACAAAGGTCCCTGCTATGTTGGGGGTCTCGCAGCATGTCAAAGCCACCTCTCCACAAATCCGATGTGTTAAGCATACTACTAGTAACAGGTGCCACGTTAGCAGTAACAAGTGCCTTACTAGTAGTAACAAAAAACTATTAGAATAATAGCTTTTTGTTACTACTAGTAAGGCACTTGTTACTACTAGCGTGGCACCTGCTACTAGTAGTAACAAGAACCATACAGTTTGCCAACTATTAAATTCTGCTGATTGACCTATAGACTCGATGGATCACAAGCATGAAAACGCTTCCTTTATCGAGGATACCAACTTCGGAGTAGCAACTGCCACTAGTTCTGTGTGTGTGTGTCCCATTGCCAGAAACCAAAAACATCTTCTTGCGACCCCGAAACAGCTTTTGGACCATCTTGACTCACAATCATTATCTCAAAATTGCTAAAATGACAGTTTGGCCACACCACAACCCCGCAATCCCCCACCAGGTCAACACTTCCTAGACCAGACCCGACTTATCCTGACTTGCTTAGACCAAGGCGGTTCTTCTCGTTCGTGGCACCCGACCGGTGCTCCACCTTGCGCTCTTGGAGGCGGTCACAAAGCTCCTCAGCTCGGCTGCCGATCGATGCCGATCGATGCCGATCGCATGCCTCGATCGGGAAGACCACACGCGCGCCGCCGAGGCTCGGTGTGGGGCCTTTTTTTGTCCAGATCCCCCAAAACCTGTTTGCTTTTGATGGTGTTCCTTGCTAGGCCTGTTTGATCCTGCTCTTGGGGTTGCTGTGTGTTGTTTTGCATGAAGGGACTATGATTGCATTGTTGGAATGCAACCGTCTTAGAATATAAAGATCAAGACTTGGACACTCTGCCCAACCACTGGGATCAGTGCCAAGGCAGTGCCACACCCGTCGCCACGTACGTGCCACGGAGGTTCCGTCTTACTGCCTTGCTGGCCATCCACTTCGATCAATCGATCGTTCACCTGGCAAAATTCTGGACAGAGGTCTCACAAGAGTGTGCTTGACATAGCAATCCCAAAGCATAACACGTTTATAGGCTCAATATTTGGATCAATACAATACTGTGAGTTTCCTTGATCCTTTCTTGAGCAACCGTTTGAACCACCGACCTGAGTTTTTTTGAACTGCACGATCATTTTTGAAGAGGAAAGAAGCAAATCTGAGGGATGTTTATCACGGCGCAGGAGGCTCAACAAGCGAGAGGAGGGTGTTTTGATGTGTTTTTCATCCTCAGCCCTCAGCCAACTCCGAAAGTCTGTCTGATTCTATCTGCATCATCTGCTACCAAACTCCCTGCGCTTCCCCCCTCCGGGCCTGCACCATCTCAGCTGGAGAGCAGCTGCTGTTCCACACCTGCAGCAGTCCGCCGTAGACCTCGACTGCATGGCCCACGCCCGCGACCCGCGGCCCGGCCCGGACCTTCTGGACGCCGTCTCGACACGGACCGAGAAGATGGTCTCTAAGCCGGTGGGAGACCGAGTTCTAAGCCTCTCAACTATCCCCAAGATTGGAAAGAACACCAAGTTGGTGGTTGGTGAGTTCCAAGTCGTCTGGGACATGATCCAAAGTGTGTTGTAGTGCCAAGATTCAAGCACGCAAGGTCGGCGACACTTCCGAAGATTGTTATTGGCACACTTTTCACAATGCGCTCTTTAGTCCCTTTATTTGTCAGACCCAAAGCTAGCGCTAGAGTCGCTAGAGGGTTTCAGAGCCACTTCCTTTTTCTCAGAGGACGTCAGCACGCTTAATTATAAGCTTCGCTCATTGCAGTTTTGGCTTGCCACCATGCCCATACGTTCTCGGTCTTCATGATCTTCATGCTTAACTCCACTCCTACATTCCCTCTTCAAAGGTGCCTCTTTCACCACAGGAAAGGACTTGTCCTGCGCAGCAGCGGCTCGCTGATCCCAAGGGGAATGATGCGATGCTGTCTGAGTCGAAGCAAAGCCAAAGTCTGACTGACAAGCCGCAATCCATCTCAAAAACGTTTGAACATTCTATGTGTATTGGGTTTTTCATCTGTAAACACGATAAAAACAACTATAATTACTGTAAAACACATTGAATATGATGTGGTCAACAAGCTCTTTCCAAGATGAGCTTGTTCAGTCGAGATTCCCGCTCCTTGCCTCAACATGTCTCCAAACATATCCCGATCAACACTGAGTGCCCCTGTGGCCCGGTCGTCCTGAACGTCAAAGGCCACTCCCACATTGGATCCGAGACCTCGACAAGCAGGATCCGAGGTTCGTCTACTGAGAAATCATTCAGTTTGATCGGATTCTTTGGCTCGATGGACAAGGATGGGCGACACAACTTCAAACACCGAAATGTCAAAAGTAATATATAAACACATATCGGCTCATAACTTCAAACACCGAAAGTAGAAACACAAGGCTTTGGCTTGCGGTGGCTTTGGCTGAAGGCAAAGCTGGAATTTGGGGTGTGTTCAGGTAAGGACCAAACTCAAATTGTCTTGCGAATTGGCAAAGAATGTAACATCTTGGTTTCATGATGAGTTCCTCTATTTGAGGCACACTGTCACACCCATATCATAACCCATCTCCAAGGCAACAAACAAATTACTAATCGTACAAGCTGCAACTCTACAGTACCTGTCAGGAACCCAAAAACCGTTGCTCTACTAATATAACATACAACCAATTACTTTCCCGGCCTTGCTTGTTTCGATCTTAGCAATTCTACTCAAGGGCTCTAGTCATCTATGCTGCTTCACTCATGGACCATTCAAGAATTCCAAAATATTATTGTCTCACTTTCTGCCATGGCACTGAGGTCTAGCTTCGTCACAACCACTCCAACCTGAGGCTGCGAGGCCATTGGGAAATGTTTTTCTCGTCGAGAACTTGCTTGCTGGACGTGCACCATGCAAATGTGTGCGAAACATTGAAACATATCAAGCCAATGTAACGTGTACTGGAAGACGTCATACTTACACATGGCAAATGTTTAGCTTTCCAGCCACAGCACTTTGTTCTCCGATCCTGGACACGGAAACTACTTGTTTGACCATATCCGTTTTGCCCCGTTTGCCTACACGTTTGGCAGAGGGAAGATGTGTTGATCTGTAGACCGCTGGGGGCCGTTGGGCAGTTCCATGCTCCATGAGGTCAAGGAAAACACATGCGCGAAGCATGCGCAAAGCAACCCTCCACGCCTGCTCGGCGGCCTGGTGCGGCTGGGAACAGAGCGAATCTGAATCGTTCGGTCTGGACCATGTCCATGTGTCTGGCGGATTGGTCTGGATACGATCAAGATCCACCTTTTTTTTCGGAAATTCCTGGACTCAAGACATCACAAAGCCATCCATCCTCCTCGAACAGTATTCAGTGTTGTCACTGCTGGGGATACCCTGACCTCAACGAGGGGTAGAATGAATCTGAATCTATTATAGTATATATATAATATTAGTAGTAGAATCCGGCATCCGGAAAGGATCTTATCTTTCCAACCTGCAAATCATATGACATCTATTTGACCCGTGAGCGCGCCACAAAGGATATCGTATAAGTGGAAAATCCCTTCAACAGACTAGAGGTAAACATGGCCCTCAGAAGTAAACATGGTCCTCACTACCCATGGTCACTACCGACACACCGACTGTGCCGGTGCGAGCCGCACCCCGTAGCCGCTGTAGCCGATCGTCATGGTCTTTCCTGGCAAAAAAACACAAACAAGTGGCCTCCTCTTATGGATGGGACCCCAAGGCAATCTAACGCAACGGAATACCTTTGATAGATGAGATCGTGTATATTTGGAAAGCACCAAACACTGAAGAAAGAACAGGGTGTGAATCCTCCATCTCATGGCTGGTTTACTCGGAAGTCGCTGAATCCACAGGCAAACCAGCTATCTGTATTTTTATATATTATGTATACACAGAATGCAGAATACACGGTTTAGACACAGTCATTGTGTAGCCCCTCATCCAGGCAAAAGCACACACAGACTGGAAATGACTGGAAGCCCAACACATGTCTTGTGGGTAAAAGCCAAACTGAGGCTGTGATCCTTGCTAAAAAGTGCTTTAAAGTCCTTGTTGTTGTTGTTGTTGTTGTTGTTGTTGTTGTTGTTGTTGTTGTTGTTGTTGTTGTTGTTGTTGTTGTTGT